TCCTAGAAAGTGACTTTTCCATCTATATCTTCCTTTCAGGGATGATAACTTCTCAGATACACTGAGCCAAAAAGCAGACAGTGAAGCCAGCAGTGGGCCAATAACTGAGGACAAGTCCTCATCCAAGGACATGAACTCCCCAACTGATCGTCATTCTGACATATATTTAGGAAGGTAAGATTAACAGCAACATTTCTGTGTTGCCTTGCAGCTGCTGGATTGTTTCTGAGTGCATGCAGTGGCAGGATTGCTTCACACACACACCTTGCTAACAATGCTAACTTGTCCTATGATTTCTACATTTGTGTAGGCAAAGAAAGAGATCAGAACCACCTCCTCCAAGGCGCCCAGGCAGGACCAGTGATGGCCATTGCCCAGTACACACACCGCATGCACTCACCAACTCATCAGCGGAGCTTGGTTCCCCCAACATGTCAAGTCATTGCAGTCCTCGAGCCCTTCTGCAAAATCGCAACCTCAAAACAGACAGCCCCGAAAGGCGACGTAGACCGGGGCATGGCAGCCTCACCAACATTAGTAGGCATGATTCACTAAAGAAGATTGATAGTCCTCCTATTAGAAGATCTACATCATCTGGTCAATACCCAAGTTTCAATGACCACAAGCCACTGGACCCAGAGTCGATAGCTCAGGTTAGTCTCTTTTCTTTGCCTTGGTGAGCAACATGGTCACATTAGATGTAAATGAACATTTGTCTTCACAACAGAGAGTTTAATTTTTTGTTGAAAAGCTGTATTAGAAGTGTTTCCCACTTAACTTTCTAACATGGAAGCCTAGGACAGATGAGTTAAAGGATTGCAGGTGAAAAGAGAGCCAGGGAAAATAAAAGTTGCAACAGCATTTCAGTGAAATAATTTTCAGTTGTACTGAAATGAAATTCTGTGCTGCTCAGCACGTAGGGATAATGTACAATTACTGTTTCTCAAATTATATAAATCCCAGTGCTCTGGTGGAAGTGGGTTTTGCATTCATAGTTGCTGTATGATTTCTAAATCTTACAGTGTGCAAATCTGTGCTCCAGTTGGCTATTAATGTCCTTAGTCATTTGGAACATAAGAATTTGCATTTCAGAGATTTTAAAAATACTTTTTGTGTAAATATAGAGATTTTTAATTCTTGTGCTTATGCCTATGGAACATGCTAGGTAAAAGTGCAAATAAATTGGAATAAGTAATGGACTGTGCCATCAGTGTATATGCAGGAAAGTTGGCTAGTCATTTCTCAGCACTGTACAGGTGAGAGGCACCAAGAAGTAAGTTATTAATTTTGTGCTATTGAAGTGTGCTCACTCGGTAATACATATATATTGGACTAAGAAATACTTCTGTCCTACTCAAAGTTCATTTAGTTAAAATGTGGTCATTATGTAAACACTCAACATTCTCAAATTACCATCTGATTACAGAAGCATTCAAAATGACCCTGCACTGACGTTTCAAAATTTCATGTAACTTTTGTTTCCAAAGTCTCTGCTTCTTGAAGAAGGAAAAGAGAATCTAAGTGATTGTAATAACTCTGAAAGAGCAATGAAAATTGATGTCTAACAGTTTCTAACCTTTTAAATATTAAGTTGAGCTCTTATTTATTGCCCAGCAGCTATACATAGCTTTAATTCAATTTGTTCACTTCTAGACCAACTTCTTGACAGTGACAAAATTTAAACTTAGAATAACCCATATAAATGCTGATGTGAGCAAGCAGAAAACACCTGATATGTTTCTTATTTAACACATTTGTTCTTCACTAACACTGAAAAATTAACCTCTAAACCAATCTTGGCATGTCCTTTTAGCAGATGTATTTTAAGAATAAATCCAAATGTGCAAAACATGGAAGTAGTTTCATAAATAATCTCAATAAACAGTATTTTGTACGATAACTTCTAACCATGTCTCATTCTTCTTTGAGAAATCATGTGTTGAATGGATGAGCCATAACAGAGCTGGCAATTTTCTGCAATACCATCCAAAGAACTGATTATATTAAGTTTCCGTATTCGTGTGAGCTTGGATTGTATGTAACCTCTTGGGAGGGCAGAGGGAGGCGGGATGTGACAGCTATTGCAACTTCATGTAGTATTGTTAGGGTTCATTGTTTAAAATTAATGGTTTGACTGTGTTCTACTTCATGAGGGAGGGCTACTGCAAGTCCTCCAGGAATTAAACACAGTGGATGGTGATTTGCCTTAGTCAAGTTATAACCTCCTAGAGAAGAACCAATTCCTAGGGAGGCTCATATACTAGATTATCCAGAGACTAACAAAGAAAGGACTTTTGGATAAATAGGTTAAACTGGTATAGGGCCTGATCCAGCAAATTAACAGGACCTTCTGTCCAAGGGGCCCTAGTCCTTATAGAAAGGTTGGAAGGACTTCATTTGCTAGGGCCCCTCGACTTTTTGCCTGCTTATATGAACTTTTATCTTTTATATGTTTTCTCTGTAATCCTTTTATCTTCAAAATATATATCTTTACTTAGAAACTGCTATGTGGTAGCTTGTCACTGGCAATTACATAACCCTCAGAGAGAAGGCAAAATGCAAGGACTGGCCTTTTTAGGCATTCTGGTTTGCTAGGGATATCACAGCATAGGCAGGAATTGTGCAATTTTAAAGATCCCACACTCAGGAGGGAGCAAGACATGCAGATCTCACCCAAGTGAGATAGTTGTTGGGAGCAAAAGCCTAGAGTGGGAATACAAGTGCAGTCGCTATGCAACTGACATAAGCAAGCAGAGCTCACTGCCACAAACTTTTTTAAAAGCTGAAATGGTATCTCTGTGGAAAAGTGGCCATTATCTTTCAAGATGTCCTTAATTCTTAATACTAAGCACCAGCTTCTCTCTCTGCCTAACTTTCTAACTGAAAGTTACCAATGGCACAGTTTTTTTGCCACTTCTCTTTAATTGCATCTTTATTTTTTAAGAAAGTGTTATAGGCCAGATTTTCAAAGCCGGATTGGATGGCCCAAATAAAAGCCTTAGATGGCTTTGAAAAACTCAACTTACTGCAACTTTAGTTTTACATTCAATACAGAAAGTCCTTGTGTTGAAGTATTGTTCCTGAATATTTTGGGATAAGAGGGAATAGCACAAGGGCTCTTAGGCTTCACATTTATTTAAACATTGCAAATCAATCAACAAATATTTGTTCTCTTAATAGTAATATATCAGCAGAGTATGTTTTTAATGGCCTAACTGAATGTTGACCTGTGTATAACAGGGTTGACTCACCACATGGTGCTGTCTTCTGGACAGCAGTTTGCCCATCGCCATTCTGTTCTCTAATGTGTCTCCTTGGCCCCACATTGCTCCCTGGACTGCAGAGTCCATTCTCACCCCCTTCCAGAGGTATCAGCACCCCCCAGTCCTCCACTTGCCACTGTGGCCAACGGTAGCCCTGAAATCTAGCCCCTTGCCTTAGGGGCAAGCTGCAGTTTATAGTTCATGCTTCAGTGTGGCTGGGTGCAGTGCAAGGGGAAAGAGGGACACTCAGACCTTCCCACTACACTGGGTCCTGACCCAGGGACCCTCTGGTGGCAGTCTTATTTGCCCGCCTTCATTACCCTCAATATTCCCTGGGCTACTTCCCTGTGATCCTTGCATCTTCTCAGCCCTTGTTCAGTTTCTGTAATTTCCACATTGGAGCGTTGCTCTTCTCAGGCTTCTGAAAGCATGCGTCACACCTCATCCCTCTCAGATTTGGAAGGCACTTCAGATTCTTAAACCTTGGGTCAAGTGCTGTATCTCTCTCTAGAAATCTTACATTGGTACCTTCTTTGTGTTTTCTTAAAACTGCCATGAATGTGTTCTTAAAATTAAAAACATGTGCTGGGTCATCATCTAAGACATGACATATAACAAGAACTACATGGCAGAATGCAGGTAAGACACAGAGCCCGAGAGACACAATTCTCCTCCAAGGAGTTCAGTCACAAATTTAATTAATGCATCTCCAGCATATCTGGTGCATAAAAGTGCCCTGCGAGCATCTGTTCTCACTTTCAGGTGACATTGTAAATAAGAAGCAGGCAGCATTATCTCCCATAAATGTGAACCACCTTGTTTTTCTTAGCATTTAGCAGAAGTAGAACTGAGTGGACTTGAAGGCTCCAAAGTTTTAGATTGTTTTGGGTGTAATGTAGTTACGTTAAAAAAACCCACCTACATTTGTAAATTGTATTTCCACAATAAAGAGATTACACTACAATACCTGCATGTAGTGAACTGAAAAATACTGTTTCTTTTGTTTATCATTTAACAGTGCATATATTTGTAATAAAAAAGAAAGTGGGCCTGGTTAATTTGTAGTCTGTTTTGTAGTTGAAATCAGTCCATTTGAAAATGTAGAAAAACATCCAAAATATTTAATAAATTTCAACTGGTAGGCTACTCTTTAACAATGCAATTAAAACTGCAACTAATCACAATTATTTTAAAATCTTTTTTTTTTAATTAAGAGCATAAGTAAACTGCTATTAGCAGCCCTAGTCCAAAGGCAAGGAGTGTTATTGTAACCATGTTGGTCTCACAATAATAGAGCGACAAGATGAGTGAGATATCATCATTTATTGGACCAACTTCTGTTGGTTAAAGAGAAGGTTTCGAGCTTACACAGAGCTCTTCCTCAGCGCTAAATGGACATTTTAACACTTGATAATATTTGTTAGAAATGAATGAATGGTTTATTACTGAATTCTTTACACTTTTCCCTCTAACTACCCTTTGCATTCAGTATTTAATGACTTGCTGCTCTGTCTGTCTTTTGACCAGGATATTGAAGAAACAATGAACACAGCTCTGAATGAACTCCGTGAGCTGGAACGGCAGAGCTCTGCGAAGCACGCCCCTGATGTGGTGTTGGATACATTAGAACAAATGAAAAACTCACCCACATTTGCCACCTCCACAGAATCACTAAGCCCTCTCCATAGCGTAGTGTTAAGGAGCACTGAGCCTCAGATTCGACGTAGCACTAGTTCTTCCAGTGATACCATGAGTACTTTTAAGCCCACGGTGGCCCCCAGAATGGGAGTGCAGCTAAAACCCCCTGCTCTGAGGCCAAAACCCATTGTTCTTCCAAAAACAAATCCTACTATAGGACCTTCTGCTCCTTCCCAAGGTCCAACAGACAAATCTTGCACAATGTAAAAAGCTAAGTAACCCTGGAGATAAGAGTGGAGCATGTTACAGACAGGCATGGATTACCCATAGAAGTCAGGGTTCCATAGCATTGTTTGTTCATGTTTATAACTGGAGATGTTTTGTTTTTCAGTGTTTTTGAATGTAAAATGTCTGAACCAGTATCATTAACATGGGCATTTGTATTTTGTATTGTTTCAATTTTTTAAAAAATAACTGGACAATTGTGTGTCATTTTAAAACAAAAACAGACTTACTTGAAAACTTAATGCTGCACCATTTATAATAAAAGGAACAGATCAGAAATGGCTTCCCACTTTGTACAATACTTCATAGTCTTACTGTAGCTTAATAAGGGGTCCTGTACAAAAGTAACTTGAATAAATTCGTAAGTGGATATGGAACCCTTGACCACTAGGCCTTAGCAGTCTGGTTAGTAAGAGCTGAAAGTTAGCATCTGAGAGATTTGTTAATGGCCTGTTTGAAGTCTGTGTGTAATCTCAGTCCATGTACATTTTAAAAATATTTTTAAAATTGGCACTAACATTTAGCATTTTTTGGTTGTTTTATTGGAGGTCAAGTGCTGGAATAAGAATGGAGAGAAATACTCTCTGACTTCACTCCAGGTCAGACTTAAGAGTGTATTTCCAGGATGATAAGTTGTTTCTAATGCTGCCACTGGTGCTGTACCTTTCTTTTGAAACTAGAATTTCAGTCACCTGGACTGTCAGACACCTTTTACAAGCACTAAATTAATTTAAAGTTTACTATTCAGTGAACCAAGTATCTGTAGTTATAAAGGTGGGTGGGTCTTTCTGTATGTAATAAAAGATTTAAAGTAGCAATTGAACAATAAGTAAACAAAACATTCCTTGAATATTATGCCTCAGTATCTTAGTCAAATAATTTGAGCTGTGATAACTTATAGTTTCAAAGCTGCTGTATCCTCACTAGTGATCCTTCACAGAGCAAACAATGTGCATGGTTTCTCTAGGCTACTTACTTAACTGAGATATTTTCTTCACCAAAGTTCTGGAATAACTTCTCCCAATTACACAGGAGGTTATTGGCCCAGAAATGTCATTTTCTACTGTCTAGATTAAACCTAAATAAAATTTGCCAGAACCAATTTTCTTTTTAAATTTTCTGTACATTTCTCCTGTCTGTGTGTGAGTGAAGATTTTCTCAATTGTGCTTAGTGCTCCATTATTAAAATTTGTTACATGTGAATTAATTTTACAGCTGTTTTGCATTTGAACACTAAGCCATAACATTATTTCTGAGATAAATTACCGCTATTACTTGCCCAAGCTATAAGATCATTTATAATAAGTTTTAATTACACAGCCATGCAGTCAAGCTATTTATGAAGAATACCCTGTGTATCTTACCTAAAATACCATGGCCATGAAAAGAGAGTCAGCTGCTGGTTATCTATAGGAATAAAACTGGCTTCACATAAGAATTGTCTTTTTTGTTACATTAGGATCTTACCATTCTTCCTATGGAATGGTGTAAGTTGTACCACTCACTATACAGAAACATAACTGGGGAGAGGGAAGAGTTAGTATCTTGTACAAAACTTTGATTAGTGTAGTATAGTCTGTATAAAGTCACAGAAGCCATGTCCTATTGTCATTTGGGAATTTATTCCCACTATGATTTATTAATTGTAGTCACTTGATAAGGAACTCCAATCCCTAGGCATGACAAATATCCCATAATCTGTATTTGATAGCAAGACTGTCAGGGCCATTCATATTGTTGCTGATATTTGCAGATCAAGGAAGGTTGCAAAACATCCAAGGAATCTGTCTGTCTGGGAGCTGCCTCATATATAAACTCTTAGTTACAGTGGGCTCTTAGGTATCAGTTTAATCCACTGAGGCTACAATTGTATAAACAGGGTAACAATTTGTCAAATTTATGTGTAATTCTTGCCTGCTGCCTATAGTCCTAAACTCAAAAGCAAGGACCTGAAGCTAGTCCCCATTAAAGGTTAGCTTTACCCTATTGGTATGTTCACCTGTCCAGGATCGGAAGTTATTTTCAATTAGTTTTGTAACTATTAGAATCAATAGAACAAACTGGAATTCCAGCTCTAATTTACATGCAGTTTTTATGTTTATTACCAGTGTGACATAATTGAGATGAGTACCTGTATCCTTAAGTTTCATAGGGAATTTTGTATGTTTAAAATAACTCTACTGGGCTCCATAATGCTTATATTAGAAATTGTGTAGCAGAAGAAAATATTAGAAACAGTGCATTTAGTGAATGCATCCACTTAAGAGCATTCACACAAGTTAAATGTGTAGTTTGATGGTTATTATTGATACTTAAAGTTTAGTAAGTGGATATGTAACAGAAAAGACTGACAACTACAACCATACTAAAGGGTAACTCCTGCACACCTAATCAAATCAGTATTGTCCTTTACTGTCAGTTTGATAAATTGCAGTACTGGTAGCTTCCTGCTTGTTGACTGTTACCTAATTGTGTCAATGTACATCTGTAGTATGTACATGTGAAAGTGCCTTTAAAAATTTTAGAGGAGCTTTAGCCTTGCTCTTGTACTGTTGCATTTCCATTGCGTTTGCTCTTGGTGGTATACTGTCACATTTTCACTGCATTCTTCCCTGCTCTTGTACAGCCTCATTCCTTCCGTTTTCAAACAAAAAAAGGTTTAAAATACAGTTATGGAAGAAAAATGTACTGTTACTCTGTTGTGATAATGCACTTTTTTATGTATAGTACTGTACATTTTGGCATGTACCATCACAGGCTTCAGTATTCATTCAGGTTTGTTCCCCTTAGTGTATCTTTATAATAAAGAAGATAGTTCTGTCTGCATTTGTGTACTCTATTGGTGTACAATCCTCAGTACTCTTTTTTTTTTTGCGTGTGTATACCCACATGATCTTTTTCCCTGGTAATGTGAAGTGAAGAGTGAGCGGTCCACCCCACCCTACTTGTTTCCTGTTTTATCAACCTGTTAGTCTTCCCAGTTTCCATTTTCCACCCCCCTCAAAGTGGCCTTTCCAGGGGAAATCTTACTCAGATGAGATGACAAGATCACCTTCATGGGCCATCACAAAGAAGGCCTACCTTACTTTCATGAACATCCTTCTACATTTTACCTTTTCCTGAAACTTACTGCTACAGCTCTCCTTTGGATGGAGTTACTTGCAGACACACTGCTGGTACTCTACAAAGCAACCAAAAGGCATACAGTGGGGCAACACAAAGCCCTCATCCCTTCACAATGTTTTCAACTCCCACTGTGCAAAAGGCCAAACTGCACATTCAAACTTCTGCAGTCCCCAAGTGGCAGTGCATTTCGTCATGCATCTACGCTTGTTTTCTTTTTAAAAAAATAAGCTTTATGACTATTCTGGCTGCTTGTGAATGAGACGCAGGAGGATATTCCAACCTGGCCAACATCAGCATAACTCACATTAACATCAAACACACTTACATTAGAGTTGAATTTGACCCAGAATTTGAATAATTTTATTACTCTCCTATTAATAACTATAAGGGCTGAAATGTTCTCAGGTCATCACTCTGGAAGCTTGTTCTCCTCTAGGAGACTAAAAACCTCAAACTGGAATAGAAGTGGCTATTAGGCACAAAAGAGCACTCAGTGTGGGTTAGCCCAGAGAGCCTGAGCAAAAGCTATCTGTTGTGCCAACAACCATATGTTCGTTTGATAACTGGCTCAGGCAAAAACCACTGAAATATCCTCTTATTTGGAAGCTGTGGTTACACTCAGATTAGTTTACAAAAAACACAATGTTTTATCCACAAACCATGCACACAATTGGCTTCTGATTTTTCTGTCAAAGTATCTTTGTGGTTGAGAGGCCTCCTACTTAGACAGGCCATCCCTCAGGAAGGTCTATTTTTAATTTAGAAGGAGAGGTTACCCGCCCCACATCCATGCTCTTTCCGACCTACTTTATCCTCTTAGCTATCCCAGGGCTTTACAGAAGCAAGAACACACATCAGAGCACCCAAGCTGAAATCCTGCTTAAAATTAAAAGTCAGCAACAGTCAAAAGGCCCAGAAGTGTCTTTTCCCTCACTGCAGCACTCAAACTTTGTAATGTGGCAAGGGAGAATCACTTAACAGGCTACGGCAACAAGTAATAGCCCTGGGAGTGCTAATCCAGGCTTTGACTACACTACAAGGTTTTTGCTACAGAGAGTATGCTAAGGACAGACTCATTAGCATGAGTCACGATGTTATTAGTGTATTTTCTGCCAATGCTTTTTGCACAAAAACCCCATGCGCAAAAAGAAGCTGTGTAGCCGCTTCTGTTTTGTGCCCAAAAAAACCTTTTGCACAAGATCCTTATGCCTCTCCCCGGGAGAGGCACATCTGAAGAAGTGGGCTGTGCCCACGAAAGCTCCTGATATCATCTACATGTTTTGTTAAGTATAAAGTGCTACCAGACCATTTGTTGTTTAAGTTTATCCTGTACAGACTAACTCAGCTACCCCCTGAAAATACTGAAGATGGTTACCTAGACTAGATGGTGCCAAGGAGCAGGGTAGGAGGCTTTGACAGGTGAGTGGGGGCCTATTGCAGCTTCTGGCAGTTGGGGAAGTGAGGGGTGCTGTTTGGGGCAGGCATGTTAGCAGAACAGTAAAATGATCTTCCATTAACTAGTTAATGGTGACACTGAACATTACACTGTTATTGGGCAGTTCACACCACTGAAAACTAGTGGGCCAAGCTATCTTCCCATTCAAGTAGCCACTGCTGTCTCCGTTTACAGTCAGTCTGTGTTTGATGGGGGGAAGCGGGAGGATATGTGGATCCATAAGCATTAGCAAACTTATTTTAGTTAAAATCTGGGGTGCTATGGCACAGTTCTGCGGCAAAGGACAGATTGGTGCTTTCATGGAAACCTACATTCTCTGAGACTTTAATTATAGGGGTAGCTCCTGTCTGGCCCAGAGGCACCTAAGTCAGTGACTACCCTACTGTCTGAATGCAAAACAAGATCCCATTTAACAACACATCAAATCTGGGGGGACAAATGGTGGTGGTTAATGGTATGATGATCAAGAAAGGGATTTGGAACAGTCCTGATAAAAATGGATTATCCAGTTCCTAGTTTGTACATTGTAGGGCTTTTCATGAGGAACTCCCAGCACTGTATTGACATGAATATAGCTGAGGGGGTGCTGTACCCATTTTATAGGAACCTTCTCAAGATCATATAGCAAAGAAAAAACTGCACCCTCACCGTTCTGTCTTTACCCTCAGATATATGCACCTTCCTTCCATAAAGATTCATGCTAAACAAATCTACAGCGTGTCACAGAAATCAGCCTGGACAGCAGAATTAGAAACTCAGGTTACTGAAGCTAAACCCAATCTGAAGGAAGTGCCAGCTGCATCCTAATTCAGATTCTTCTCTGCTTTCCCTGGAGAGTGGAGGCACCAAGACTGGTTGAGCCATGGAGTTGTGACTTCTGGGCCCTATGAGGCAACCCAAGTGCCTCACAGGGTCCCAGAGCATCTGCTTGAGCAAGGGCACAGAGTACAGCATGGACCCCCATCCCAAATTCCCCACCTTAACCTCGTGTCCAATCCCTAGAGCCCTCTCCAATCCCACAACCAGTCTTTTTCTCTCCCTCTCCAGTTTGTCTCCAGTCACCTGCTTCTACCACATAACTTTTCAGAGGCGGAGTTCTGGAGTCTCCTTGGTCACTCCCACTACCCAGAGCTTCCTTCCTGCTGCTTTGCTATCTTAGCCCCCACCAGATAATTCACCTCCTGATACCAAAGTCAAAAGTGCACACGCGCACACACACACACACCCCATCCCCCTCTTCCCTCCCTCCCTCTCCCTGCTTTGCTGCCTGATTCCAGCCCATACCCATTCCTCTCCTCCCCCCACTCCAGATCACCTCTCTTACTTGGCTCACTTGGGGGCACAGAGGAACGTCTGGGCCCCTGGGCAAGGTCGGAGGGAGCAAAGCAGGGGTGGGGTCTTGGGCAGAAGGGGTGGAGCCAGAGAAGCCAGTCCTCAGCTTCAGCCAGTGCGCACCGGCCCACCCTCAGCCCTTGGAGCCTCCCGGAGTGCGCCACGCAATGCTCTGGCAGCAATTTAAAGGACAAGGGACTCCAGGCACCACTGTGGTCACAGTAGCTGCACTGGCAGCCAGAAACCCTTGGCCCTTTAGAATTGTCAGGCCGTAGGGCAGTTGTCCCCATTGCACACACACCCCGTGGCAGGCCTGGTGAGTGGCACTGTCAGGCGGTTCTGGCCAGCCTTGCACATCCTACTTTCAATTTAGGGAAATAAGGTCACCCTGCTCGCCAGCCAGGGGGCAGGCAGGCAATTGCGGGGCAGGGTAGAAGAGGGAAGCAGTGTGGGGCTTTGGTCCTTACCTGTAACTTGACCAAGAAATTTGTATCTTGACAAAAAAAAATAATTGATTACCCCTATACTAGAGAAAAGAATCAAATATGGTCCGTTGCTCTATCATACCAAGGAGTGATAGGGGAGGGTTAGTTTTAAAAAAAGCATGTACACCCAAAGCTACTCTCCTTACCCATGGTAGGGTGACTGTATTTCCCCATGCCACATACGGGAGGCCAAGGTGGGGAGGGGGTTGCTGGCACTTGGGGCTTCAGCCCTGAAGGGGGGGGAGACACTCAGGACTTCAGCTCTGCAGGAAGTGTGCTTGGGGATTCAGCCCTGCAGCAGAGGGGGGTGGCACTCAAGGCTCCGGGGGGGAAAGGAGCCACCAGCACTTGGGGCTCCAGCCCCAAAGTGGTTGTGGGGAGGAGCCACCAGTGCTTCAGCAAGGTGGAAGCATTCAGGGTGAGGAGGCACCAGTGCTGGGGTTTCAGTGGCTGAAGCCTTGAGTGCTAGCAGCTCCTCCACACCCCTTGCTACAGGGGAAATACAGGACAATGTGCCTGTTTTTAAAAATAAAAGTCAGGACACTGGGAACAGCCTTTACATATGGGACTGTCATGGTAAAAACGGGACGGATGATAACCCTACCCATGTGCTCAGTCACGTGATGTAATAGAAGCACGTGCTGCAGTGGCTGAAGCCTTGAGTGCTAGCAGCTCCTCCACACCCCTTGCTACAGGGGAAATACAGGACAATGTGCCTGTTTTTAAAAATAAAAGTCAGGACACTGGGAACAGCCTTTACATATGGGACTGTCATGGTAAAAACGGGACGGATGATAACCCTACCCATGTGCTCAGTCACGTGATGTAATAGAAGCACGTGCTGGCATA